GCTAAAGGACTGTAATTTTAAGAGGATATACCCCGTCCACCTAAGTTTCATTCAGCTCAAACCTAATTCTCGGGCATGCGTGTTAAACTCGCACAGGCCCATGAAAATTTTTTTTCAGTAAGTTACTAACTCAGGAGCCAGGGAAGCTGGAAAGCTGAAATTTCAAGGGGGTTGTTTTCTGACAGTACTGGCTGCCAGTCTTAGTTCGTTTAGCTACAAGCATTTGCCGAAAAAGCCGCTGCCGGTAGCAACAGAAACTTGGGGGAACTGTACAAAAAACGCATCTTCGCACGGGCGGCCAGCGCGTCGGCCAATTATTTTATTTTCGCCTTCAAATGAACAACTACTAGCAGTAGACCAACCAGAAACGATACTGCACTACTTAACAACCTTTGCTGGCAAGTGCGGGTTATAAATTATATCTGAGCCCGCTATACCGAGTGTGGATGATGGGAGTCGTTAATGTGTGCTGCACGATAATTGCAAGAGAGGATGGAAAGTAAGCAAGGATGAGAAGCGGAATACACACAAATTGCAGGTAAGGCAGAAAGCGTACAATTTATAATAACCGTGGTGTAGCAGACAGCACGTTGTGTGCGGTTATGAAGAAAAGTGGTTCGATTTTCTACTGATTCACAGCCCTTTACAATAAGGGAGCCGTTAAAGGCAAATTCGTAAGAAAGAGAGAAATTTGAACAGGTCCAAATTCGCAGCCACATATTCTGTGCTGTTTCAGTCCAAAATATGGAGTTTCAGATGAAGAATTTCAAATATCCGGAACGGCATTCTCTGATTCACGTAAATCATGACTTTATCGTGCCGGGAGGGCGATTCATAGAATTTTATTATTGGGACGCATACTGGATCATAAAAGGTTTACTCATTAGCGGACTTGAACAGAACGTATGGATGATGATAGATAATTTTGCTCAGTGCGTTAAAAGGTATTTTTTTACATGTTCTTGGACGCCTCCTGAGTCGGGTAAATCATAATTCCCATTGCGAAAAGCTCCGCAAAATAAATGAGACGCTGTAGAAGCTCAAGCACGAAGTAAGGTAGCGAGCCTGAAAATTGCGTGAAAGGCGAGGTGGCGCATGCGATGCTGCGATCGTGAAGATTGCAGAAGAGGGTTTCGACTTGAAAAATGTTGACAGCTACAGTTTGAACAGGAAGTAAATGTAAGCCATAACCTCCGGATTAAGATTGCAAGCAGAAGGGATGCTGGTTGGTGCAAAGTTCGCAGCATCTTCGATCTCCTCGAAGCATTGAATCGGAAGGATTGCGCCCAATTTCCCACTTGCACTTGATCAAAAGCAAAGACTTAAGGATATGAAACATGGCCACTGACGAAAGCTGAAAAGTGAGCTCTCGTTGTGGCAGAATCAGCGATCAAGCACAGGACGCTTGGCGTCAACATACATTATAATATCACATTGCAACTGCCGAAGCAAAACCTGACTGGAAGGTGGGAATGTGCTGCCCATGTTGCCAATGGTAGTTCAATATCACTGAATTATACCTATGAAAAAATTATCGGCCACTCGGCTGGCTCTTGAATAGAGGCCGCTATCAACAAGGGAGACATAGAGTCCAAGGTCTAAGAGTCTAACAAGCAAGCGCACTGGAGGACGTAGCCCGTATTCGTCAGGCCATCGGAATCTGGTGAAATTTGCCTGTTTTTAGAACTATTGCGGTTTCTTTTTTCTTAAACTTTTCGAAGCGACCGCTTTATCCCAGGCATTTCAGAAATTTGGTAGCATATGATTGGACAGTGACAAATCAGTGAGTGTTCCATTTTGAGGTTTGGATTTGTGCCAAATGGTGGACGTGTCTATTACTTGAGACGTTCGCAGCCACCATT